GAAACAACAATGAAACAATTGACATGAAACGATACGCGATGTAAGATGGAGCATAAGGGATTGAGCGTCTGCTTATGACGCTTCTTCGAGGATCATCAACTTTCGACACCCCTCGACTGAGGCGCGGCCGCCCATTTGGACTCGGATTGAGTCCGGTTTCGTGACTCTCCGCGGACTCAACAGGATGCACTTCCCGGCTTCTGAGGACCAACACTGAATTCGGCCCTCGTATTCTCAGACGAAGTCCGTCGAGCAACCTGCTTGGTCGCGATGACGTTCTTCGGCTCTAGCTGACCGGTACCTCTGGTGCACCCCGGTCCGCTTGCCCCTCTCTTGTCTTCGGCGGTGGTCCTGTCCTGGAGCACTGCGCGGGCTCCAATCCCTCTGCCATCCGTGTCTCCGTCGGGTCCGATCCGTCCTTCCTCACGTGCGGTGCCGTCAGTGTTTCCGATTCCGGTGCCGTGTGCCACTGCTGCCGCGCTGGCGTTCACGATGACGTCACCTTGGCCACCCCAGGCGCACGTGAAGTCCCCCTGCGGACACCGAGGGGTATAAGCACATGTTCATCTAGGAATACAAGCAAGAAATATACGTTGTTAAAGAAAGGAAGGAGGATGGACGGAGAGCGGATACTCATCACTGACGAGTGCGGAGAGCACCAGTGCGGCGATCAACAGAGCCCACAGCCAAATCTTGTGAAGATCCCACCATCCGGAGTTGCTGCTTTCCTCGACGTTCGCGGATTGTATCGAGGCTGTGTCGGACACTTCCCCTGACGTCAGACCTAATTTGACCTCTTCCATCTCGATCGCGCAGCTGTCGGCTCCTTCTGTCATCTTCGCTTCTGGACTCTCCGGGCTTTCTGGGCTCTCCGGAGCGCTTGGCTGCTTTCGCCGAGGCTGAATCATCCTGACAGCATAACGATAGCCGACTCTCACAGAGCGGAACTGCCGGCCCAGGCTGGCCATCCCCAAAGGAGAGTGATTGAATCTGGTGCGTCGAACTCGGGAGTTTTCTTCGCTCCCGTCTTCGGTTCCATGCTAGGGAGCTCCGGCTGGAATCCTTGGTCTTCGGCTGCATTTTTACGCTGCAGCATCATGCGAGCTGCGCTCCACAGAAACACCGAAAACGGCACAAGTACCCACTGGGTACAGCGCCTGCGAATCTCATCCGGGAGTCCATCGATCTCAAGACTTGTATCTCGAAGGGGGAGAATGCTGTTGCCCTTGAACTCTGTGGATCCCAAATGAGACTGACGGCGAGGACTTCCGGCCAGGAATGAACCACGTCGCTCCAAAGAAAACCGTTCAACGACCACGGTTGGGACTCGACTCTTTTCTAACTGATTCCCTCCTCTCCAATTTCAATGGGAGAGGGGAACTCCAAGCTACAAATGTGTTCTGCAGAGACTACAATTCCCTGAATTCTAGAATTTTCTTGTTTACCGGGTATGCCGCCGACGCGGCATGCCTCCTTGCTCTCAGTGCTCGAATCGCTCGAATTGGGGACCTTTGTTGTCCCTATCTCTGTTTGCTGTCGTCGGTGGACCGTGTAATTCTGTTATCGTCATTGAAACTAAGATCATTCGGACGTTCACAGTTAGAGAGAGTGTTGAAGCTGAATGAGACGGAAACTGTGAGTCCTCAGACATACAGCTAGGCGTGACTCAGAGCGTGGCGACGCTTCCAACATGAGTCACGTGGACGGGGTTGCACCCCGGTCCCGTGATGAGATAGAACTCACCCCGATCGTAAGAAAGCTGGGCTTCGGGGCTGATACAGCGTATATGTTCAGGTACGCATCCCAGGTAGGCGGAGCCTACTTATCACCCCGTCTCCATCACAGAAGGAGTTTTCTCTTAAATAAGCTGCACTCTGGTGTCTCCCCTCCGTGAGACTGTACACCTAAGTCTTCACTCATGCCCTTTGAGCCAGTACGTTTCCCGTCTTCCTACTCCACGTCCTATCAATGGCAATGGGACCTGAAAGAGGATGGCTCTCAAAACTCCAGGCCTTCTGTTCGCCGACGATCTCGTACTGATAGCAACGGACAGTAATAAAATGCGAAGACTCCTCCAAATAACGAGCGAATTTGGAAACGAGCGCGACACTACGTTCAACCTGTGAGGAGCCAGAAGCGTGAACGTGCATGTGAGAGTCGAAGGAGAGAGGGGTGTGTTATCGGAGATAGCAGCAGATAGAGTGAGGCTTCGCCGGCCACGAGTGTGGATATCGAGAATAAAGTTCGTGATCGCAAACTCGGCCTCTTCCCTCCAATCTGACCCGAGGAAATACAGCCCCTTACAAACCCGAAAAAAGAGCACCATAGTCGTCGTCTCTCCGAGCAAGAAAACGGACTGCAGAGGGCTCGAGATACAGGGACGCTCAGTACCTATAGCGTCGGACTATAAGTATCTCGAAATCGTTTCATCCAATCCCAAGAACTACTCGAAAACACAGGAAGATATCTGGGATATCTGGCATATCTGGGAAAAACAATCCCTAGTAGCGTTGCAGAATGCACGCAAGCTCCATACAGGGCTCGAATCGATCCGGAGTTCCCAAGACACAGTGGAAAGCGACCGCGGTAACACAATTGACCTACGCAAACGCAGTGATCGTTACAACTGGGGAATTACTCGCCGAACTCGAACAACGACAGAGAGATGCGGGCAATGGGCCTTAGGAATCACATTCTATAAATCCGCGAACGAATTTATCACAGTAGTGGCCTCACGGAAAACACGTATGATCTCGGCCGTGTGCCGCTCGGGAGTGGCGTTCATTAGACAACGGCTCTGCCGCCTTACCGGCGAAGGACGCTTCCGTCGGTAGACCGCGCGCCGAGACTTGACTCTAATACCTAATACACTACAGATATTACCGACGAAAAGCCGAGGTAGGTCTACTGACCCACAGCAGGAGGACACCTGCCCCAGATGCGACACATTTGAAGAGACCCTAAAACATGTGAACTCCGAATACGACGACGCATATTTCACGGTGAGCTGTAGTCTTCCAAAGTGGCTCTTCTGTAAGAGTACAGAGTATGCGCGCGCTGAATTTGAAAACAGAGAGTTGCGTAATGAGCAGACGATCTCGTGAATAAGCATGGGATCGGTATCTTCTAGTAGGGGGAACAACAGACAGGTTTCACTTCGTCGTCTTTTCTTTTGGAGTGGACATAGGATGTTTTGAAAATACATGATTCAATCGAGCTCCCAATATTGTTTCCAATCGACGTCCCCAGCCCTCGGGTGTCGGAAATCGCCCTTCTGGTGCTTTCGATCGGGGTAGATCTCTCGCGTTTTTCATTTTCAGACAATATGGCATTCCAGGTCCTCGAATTTTGCTCGGATCTTTCTGAGTTTCCGAAATTCGGATTCCTGGGGAAATTTTAAGCCACCTAGGAACTCTTCCCGTCATCACAGACCATCTGGGAAGCTTCAATCGTCATCCGTTAAATAAAAGGTATTTTCGACCGCCGCTGGCCCACTGTGACTCGTCCCCGACTCGATCTCTCTGTGAATGTTATGTGCTGATTGTATGGTGTACTGAATGGGCGAGATGTGTGTTTTCCTGCAATGGTGACACGACCGATACCTGCGTCCGTGACACGTCCCCCCCCCCCCCGAATTCCGGGAAAGGCCACGAGGAGCCGCGGAATTCTGCTGATCACTGTTTTCCAGCTTCTCTCGCGCTGATGTAGGTCGCGCCGCCTTGCGGCAAGTTCTGTACCCTGGTGGGCTAGTCCGGTCTCTTCTCTTTTCCGTGCGCGGTCTTTCGGAAGTCGTTTGTCGCTCCAATCTGTTCGAAGTTGTTTCTTCATCGACATGGCTCAAGTAGTTCCAGGAACGCGCAACTCCCGCCACCCGTACTTCCACACCCCACTCGGTCTAGTCTTTAAGTTGCTGCTTGACAACGATCTAAAGAATACTTGTCTCCGTGTCCGCGACTGCCAATATATCGCCAGACATTTCTGGTTTGATCTCACCGACGGGGAACGGCATCCGTTCCGGGACTTCTCCCGTTTTTTGTTGAGGAAGACGACTGTCTGTCCTCCGAGGCCCCTCCTGGCTCGCCAACTTCGCTACCGCCCGCCCCAATTCGCGGCCCACGCCGTTGCCTATTGTAACGAACGGGAAATATAAATGTAATTTCATTTGCCCATACGAATCCAGAAATGAACATAGCGGAGCTTTCCCTCGCACCTTTCTCCTTCCCCGAGATCTCGTGCGCTTCCGCGTCGAGATGTCGGAGAGACACACGCACGTTGCGTTGGAAGCAGCCGCGATAGGATCGCTCTCGGTCCGGCGTAGGGCTTCGGCGTAGGGAAAGCGACCGCAGTTACGACTGATTTTACTGTGTCTTGGTTCTCTAAGTGTCGGACTAAAACGAATCGCCCTCGATTCGTAACACCTATCTTCGCCTCCTGGAAAACCTGCAGACCGGTGAGCCACACCAACTCACGGTTCCGCTAGAACGCGAGCCCATCGACATCTGTTGGCCTGACGTCCGAAGTCTCGAGGAGATGGATGAAGGAACCGAGAGACGACGAGCTTAACTGCTGCAACTGATCCAGGATCCGCGCGTAGCGCCTCAACACGAGCGGCCGCCGCGGCCCGTCGACCCCCAATCCGGACAGCCCGTGCTGCCTCCGACTCCGCCCCCAAATTCGGAAGTCTGACGCCGGCAGCCGGCCCAACTTCCCCCCGGCCTGGCCGAGGTCCTTGTCAGTCTACGGAACGCCCGGCGCTTCGCCGGAAACCAAAATTCTCTGCTTGAAAATATGTTCTCCGGACGAATAAATGTCTTCCGATTCCGAGAGTTGTATTCCTTGTGAGAATCGGGTCGAGTCTCAGGGGGTGTTTAGTTGTCCCTGGGACGCTCTATCGTGTAGAGCTTAGTAATCGGTTGGCGGAAAATCTGATTCGTGGCCGTTTTGATGGTGCACGATCTCGACTTCCTCGGCGTCGACTCGTTCTTGAAAGCTATGACTTTTCAGAGAGGCCAATACGCGCGGTTGGCGCTCGAATCTTCCAGCAGGCAAATGTCGCCGATTTCCAGCGGCCTGGCGGGAACGGGGAGTCTGTTATGAGCTGATCTCAGATAACTCAGATATTCGCGGTGAAATCTCTTCCAGAAGGAGTTCAGGATCCTCTGTTGATAGGTCCATCTCCTGAAGAAAATTATCTCGTCCGAATCCTTGGCTCTCCTCGGGTTGGCGGCATGTTGGGGGAAGGAAGTGTCGCCACGATATCCGTATAAGAGCTCCATCGGGCCGAGGGCCTCACTGGAGTCGAGTCCGGATGCAACGCTTGTGATGGGGCGTTTATTTATCATCAACTCGATGCTGCTCAAAAAAACCTCGAGGTCTCGAAAATGGGGTACCGATGTTCCGAGAACTTTTGTCAACGGACGCTTGACTGATTGGACGAGACGCTCGTAGAAACCGCCATGGGAAGGGGCGTTCGGGGTAATGAAGTTCCATCTGACGAATTTGTCTGCGAGCCATTTCTTGATCTCACCGTCGATGATGTGTTCGTAAAGGAGCTTGAGTTCCTTTGCTGTCCTCTGGAACGATAAGCCGTTGTCTGATGTGATCGTGGTCACCGACGGGTATCGGTTCACGAATTTGTGTAGAGCTCCAAGAACCTCTGAGGTTGACATGTCGGTTGTTAGCTCGAGGTGAATCGCTCGCGTGACTGCGCAGACAAACAGGAGAATGTAACTTTTCGCTTTTTTGCCCGCGTCATTTTTGTACTTTATGGGCACAGCGAAATCACAGCCTGTGTGATGGAATGTTGGGGCGGTTCCCAGCCTGAATGCTGGTAACGGAGCCATTGGGAGGCTTGCGGCCTTGCCGTGGAAAATTTTGCGTTTAGCGCAGGAAGAGATGACCTGTCGCGCTAGTTTTCTCGCGTGAATGATGAGAAATTCCTCCCTAAGGATGTGCAGAAGGCCGGAGACGCCGCCGAAGTGTAGGCATTTTTTCTCGTAGATGTATCTGATAATAAGCTTGGAGAGATTACAGTCCGCTGGGAGAATGATCGGGAATTTCTGTTCCCGCGACAGATCCGGAGCGAATTCCAACGTAACCGGGAGGTCAATAAAAGTTCAACAGTTGATCAAGATTATCACCGTTCCCGAAATACTCGACGCGGAAAGTATTAAAATGATCGGAGATATCGGAAAAAAAAATCTTATGTTTCACGATAGTATTTCAAGGAAGAAGCTAAACGCAAAGCCGATTGACGACATTCTCAGAATCATAAATCTTTACCTCTGGGTGAATACTGTTGGCGTATATAATAATAAAATTAATAAAATGATTACACAATAACTTCAGACGTTTTCACGAAACTATGCGGTAGTAGCTCGCTACTACCTTCGGCTTTTTTTGTCTGCACACAAGCCGTCCCTGCAGACCGAGTCCAACAATCAAAGGAAAGGTGAAGATGATTCTCAAACAAGCGAATATACCTTTTATCGGCGACTTCGAATCTTGCGAAGCATGCATTCAAGGAAAAATGCATCGCGCAACTTACAGAGTGAAACCTCAAAGAGCACGAGCTAGTCAATCCGGGACGATCCATGCGGACGTGGCCTCGCTCCCCACTCCGTCCTATGGACGAGCGCTTCATTTCCTGAAGAGATATTCGTATCTCGTTGATACCTCGGCTAGAATGATCACACCGAATACTAGAGTCAGTCATGGACTCCCCCTTTGGCTGGCTGAGGTTTATTGTCCTCATATATAGCGAGTCATAGGAAAGGGTCGAGCACAGATGAGCATCCTAATATGGGTTATGCTGAAAACACTGTGAACGGGTTAAGTGGTGACCGGTCAGTGACCGTTACAGACTGAGGTCTTCAGTATCTGGAGCGAAAGGTGAAACGGACAATATTCATCATTCTCCCCCATTGGCCGTGAAGCCTTTTGCAGGGGCTCGCTCTGACTTCAATCTCTTGAAATAAATCGTTGTTTCGCATGCGATGAGAATTTCAAGTTATTTCCGTGAAGTCAGCCAGACTCGAGACAAGGACTCCCAGATCCGACAGATTTGTCGAGCGCTTGAGATAAGGGACATTTGAGGCACAGTAGAGATACAGGGACAGCTACATGTTCCGGACATCCAGAGATGATTGCACCTCCGTGTCACTTGCTCAGAATCTGAGCTTACCACATTTTTGTCAAAATTGTCATGAGATATGTCTGTCGTTCGGCAACGACTTCGAGATCGAAATTTCGCGAAAATTTCTGCCGCATCTTACTCTCTAATTTGCCTGGGCTATTTAAGAGGGGGTGTGATTCCCATTCATGGAATTCGTCTTCCGAAATTCGTTCATGTCTTCGCTTAGACGGCGATCATCGAAGAGAGCCAGAATGACGACCCCCGAAGTGTCTTCACACCCGAGTCCGGTGAAGCATAATGTGATTCCTCAAGTCAGCACGGAGGTTAGTTCGCCATCCGTGGCGGCGTTCGTTTCCAATGCCCCTCCGCCAACCGAAGACTCGGCCTCGACACACCGCGGAGTCAGTTTAGCTTCCATCTGGTCTCTTGTAAGAGCCATTCGGATCGGAGGTCGGCTATGGAATGCCCTCAAGTTCCTGCTGATGACACTCCTGATGGTCTCACTCATATCATTATTTTGGAAGGTATGTGTGATTCCTCTTCCCCCTTTTTTTCCAATCGATTCCCGTTCTCTCCTCGTATTCTCTGTATGTTGTTTAGCTCTCACATTGTTCTCGACAGGACCTGGGGGTTCTGAGCGCTCGCAGGATCGATATCCTATGATTCGTTCTCGAGACGTCGTGCTTGACCTGGACTCGTACTCCTGTGTTCATAGGGAAGGCATGAGGATTCGTCGATCGAAGGCGGAGGCATCCTGTGCCATATGGTGGTCCGAGGACCCTGTTTCACGAGAAGCCGTTCGCAGTCCCCAGGTCCCCCAGATGGGCAAAGTGATCGGTTCATGCGCCCGAAACAAGGTTTATGCTTGTTTTGAAGAACCCTTTTGAGATATGAGAAAAAAAATATAATTTTTGTAATATACATATCCTGGATCCTTCATTCCGTCAACTGAGGTCAGTCTTCTCAGCCTCAGGTTTCTCTGACACAGCTCCACTTGTTACGGCAGAGTGTAGTTGTTAGAGTCGAACTCTGCGGTTCTGTGCGTGCTAGCCTATCTCTTTATCTTATTGATATCTTTTGTCCGCTCTTTAGAGTTTCGGAGAGTCAACACAAACAGCTCTCGTTCATGAGAGCGCGATCGCGGCGACTCTCATTCCGCGCGGGTGTTCAGAATCTATGTTCCCTGTAGCCGTCTGATACACTGAGGGAGACAGTGTTCTTCCTCTTTACCACTTTCCGCTTCTTCTGGACCTGTATAAGCACTGCAACATCTGGAATAAATACCGGGTAACACCAACTGTCTGTTCTATTATACTGAGATCTACCTAAGTGTCCCGTGAATATCGAATACGTTATCAGCACGAGTTAGCTCTTCAACGATCCACAAAAGTAAGCAACCATTTACTTTCTAAGACCAGGATCAAACATGTCCATTCCGGACATGTCAGGCACAGAGCCAGAGTATGAAAAGAACCTGACACAATGCCCAGTCACGCTGAAAAAGCATGGAAAGAACTACGTAGCCTGGAAATCCCTTATCCCTATCTATCTATCTCAAAATCAAGATGTCGCAGATCTTATTGCTGGGATTCTGGAAATGCCAGAAAAAGGAACGGAAGAAAGAAATGAATGGAGCACTATTCAAAAAGAACAAGTCAGAAAATATAAGGCAGCAAATATACTCAAAAACAAATTCTATATTCTTCTATTCACCCAAATCTTATCATAACTCTCTTCTATGGTGAAACCGAAACTCTCGCTGCTAGCGAAATCTATGGAAAGATCAAGAGAAGATTCGCAAACCAAATTGGCATCGTCGAAGATACAGCAATATCGAGATTCATGTCCTTCAAGTTTCTCAAAAACAAATCAATGGGAGACCACCTCACCATGTTTGAAAACCTCCAAAACAACCTTACTGAAACTGGTTTTATAGTTGCAAATGATATCAAGTGTGCACGACTTCTTGCGTCACTGCCCAAAGAATGGGATTCGCTCAGATTTGCTTGGGCAGCGAGAGCCGAACCTGATAAGACCTACACATTGCTAGAGGAGGTCCTCAGGGCAGAAGGTGCGAGAAGAGCGCATGAGCGTGAGATAGATCAGGCCTCGGCTCTGCTTGCACAAACCAGAATCGGTGGAAATCCAAATCAGAACCGAAGAGGTAGATTTCGCCGACGACCGAGATTCGGCGGCCAGCGGAGTTCTGTCCAGCAAACAAACCATCGGAGGGTAACAAATACGCGTAGCAGAACTGAAATCAAGTGCTACAAGCGTGGACTAATGGGACACATGCAAAATGTATGCCGCGAGCCGAAGAGGAATCAAAATTCCAGAAACAGGCCAAGGGCCAACGTTGCCGAAGCATTTCCGGCCGACGCCTTCAGCGTCCAGGGCAAATCAAATCAATTCCTCATCGACAGCGGAGCATCCCACAACATAGTGAACTCAAAGATCTGGTTCACTGACTTTGACAAGAACACCGACACCCGGGAAGTCAGAGTTGGAGGCAACCACTGCCTGCAGGTTTCCGGGCAGGGTACCATCCGCCTGACTGTCGATGCTCATGGTCAAGCACAAACATTTGATCTTCACAATGTTCTGTTTGTTCCCAAGATGCGGAAGAACTTGATCTCCGTAAGCAAGTTGACTGACGACAAGTTTGAAGTCAGCATCAGTGGAAGTGGTCTCCTCATGAAAAGGGATGAAACCACAGTACAGGTTCCTAAGAAAAAGGGACTGTACAGGATCATGGCTACGACAGCCAACCATTCTCGCGGTCACTGAAAATGTGCACAAGGAAGCACAGACCCGAAAGAAGATGAAAGGCATGCAGAAATACCGAAGCAAAGTGTTGGAAAGTGAGCGTTCGGAAGTCTTGCGATCTGAGTCACAGCTCGAGAGCCAAGCCGAGTAATAGTTTAGATAACGAGGTTCAACTTAGATTGGCTGATCTACACAGGAGATCTTGGTATTTATTGAGAATCTGAGCATGCGCAGATCAAGTGACAAACCGCGGATTCTCCAACACTCCCACTCGCGGGATATCACTTGAGTCCGACCCTCTCCTTCATACTCGTGAACTTTCGAGCCGGCAGCACCTTAGTAAACATATCCGCGAGCTGGTCATCAGAAGGGACATGCCCGATAGTGATATCTCCAGCCTCATACCTCTCACGAACATAATGAAACTTGATATCAATATGTTTCGATCTATCTTGGCGAACTGGATTCGATATTAGGAGCTCGGCCGCAACATTGTCCATCAAAAGAACCGTGGGCCCTTCTTGATCACACTTGACTTCCTGCAAAAATCCTCGTAACCAAAATACATCCCGTGAACAGGTGTACGCCGCCACATACTCAGCGTATGTCTTCGAGTCGGTCACAATAGTCTGTTTCTTTGACCTCCAAGCGACGATACCACCATTCATGATGAGGCAGACCCCAGTCACTAAAGTTCGCGTTTCCAAGTCACACGCAAAGCTCGCGTCACTGTAAGCGACGAGCTGATTCGGCCTCTGAGTCTCCGAAAAGACAATGCCGGAATCGAGGTTTCCTTTCAGATATCGTAGAACACGCTTCGCGCACATCCAATGATCCTTGGACGGTGACTCACAGAATCTTGCAAGTTGGTTCACAATATACGCGATTTCCGCACGAGTCCCCACAGCAGCATACAACAAGCACCCTATCAGCTGGCGGTAA